AATCGTACCTTTACCTTTGTTTATTATATATTTTGGTCCAATCTACGCTGAAAGAGCTTGTGTTGACGTGCTTACATTTAATTGTATGAATTATGCAATCTCAAGCTGCTGGTAACACCCAAATATTTGTCTATTGTTATGCAATTTGTTTTATATTTTCAAAATGATTGTTAATATTTTGTGTACGTTGAATTATATCCCAAAATAAACAATTTACTTAAGCGGTTGCAGACCTTGAACCGAGAACTGAGGATTGCAACATGCTCATTATACCCATTTTTAGGGTTCCGTACCCAAAGGGTAAAGGAACCATATTACTAAAATTCCGCTGTCTGTCGGTCCATCTGTTCGTCCGTCCGCTCAATCGTCCGCCCGTCCGTCCGTCACTGTAACGTGCACGTTTCACCGGGCTGTATCTTATGAACCGTGATAGTTTGACAGTTGAAATTTTCACAGATAATGTATTTCTTTTGCCACTGTAACAACAAATACTAAAATATGGAACTTAAAGTAATATTTAAGTGGAGCCTCCATACAACGGACATGATTTTTTGCCGATTTTATAGATAATGATAGTCCGACTCGCGCTTGACCGGTTTTTAAAGATACATCTGCAACGAATCTGCACCCCGTCAGGTGTTGTAGATATCCATCGATGGCGGTAATAAATTAACATCAGTGTCATCATCACTGTCTGCTAACTTGGTGACTTTTCACATAAAAGTCCTATCTCAGTAATGAGCTCCGCGAAACCTAAATATCCACTTATGACTATCTCTGCCGTTGTTTGTTTTTATTACGTCATTATGAATCTATGCTTTCAATGCCCTTTAAAATTTCAAAATATAACAATTTAATTCGTTTCTGAACCTTGAAAAATGTTGATTGCCGAAATAATACTCGATTTTTTTTATATAGGTATAAAAATATTTTTCGTGAATTCGCCGACGCGGAAATAAAAGAAAACAATTTCGCATCGTCTAAAGGACAAAGATCTTTCGTTTTTAATAACGATCACGTGACAATCATGTCCAACCTTTATTAACAATAATATGTTTATTGAAATGTTTATATTTAATAAAAACTTTTATCCAAAAAAATGACCTTCATGATGCATCGATAAGAACCAATGTTTAGTTTTTATTCAATACGGCTTGCATTGTATATTGCAATGCTTATATGCATTTCGCATTGTGTTAATACCCCGAAGATTATATAAATTTATAAATTACGGTCAAGTGCACCTCTTTAGTCATGATTGTAATAATACAAAACTGCGTCAATGATGCAGTAGTTTGAGTGTTCGCCTTATCATCTGCCATGATGTGGATTTGTTCCCCATAAGGCACAAAATAGTGTCAATCCTACAAATTAACTGTTTGTTATGACCCTGGTTATATTTTGTATCCATTAACTAAAGACTTCGCTAGTGAAGACACATTCTAATATAAGAAAAGAATCAGAGTAATAATAAATTATTTATTCTTATATCAAACCTAAATAATGAAGCTTGTCGATATCATTGTAATGATTCATTTAATAAGTTACTAACTGAGGTTGTCTTATGCGGTATGTGACAGAAAATTTTGTGTTTTGAACATTACCAGAAATATCAGCCTAAATACTAACTGACATATCCATAGAACTAAACTGAAATTACTGATATTAAGTGATTTAAAATATTGAGTGCTTCTTTAAGTTCTTAATTTTTATATGCCATAACGTAAAAGTCTGAATATCACACAATATAAGACTTATTAAGAAGAATAAGATTTCATTATCACAGTTTAAATCTGAGCTGCAGAATCGCGGCCATAATATCTCTACACAACGTTCTAATAAGTTTGTAATCCATCTAGTTCAAATACTCATAAATAGAATGAATGTTCTCGTCCTTAAACATTGTGTAAGAGCAATAAACTCCCTTTCGTAACGTTCTCGCCATGCCTCAAGTCAAGCATTTGAAATATGTACAAGCCACGTTTATAAGTTTACAAAAAATATTAATATCGCTATATTCTACTATTACAAATTGTGCAAATGTCAAATGTTTGCTAAAAGGTTATCAACAAAGTAATAAATACATTAAATACAGATTAAATGCTTAATAATTAAGTTAAAAGAAATACAGGAAATGGTTAAAATATAAAACGTAAATACGTTACGTAAATATATGGAACCATTATTGTCGCTCCAAAATGACTTAACGAAAAACTATACCGTGCGGCGCGGGGCTTATGAACTGTACCACGAGGCTGTTTTAGGGAAGACTAAGCTAACAAATAAGACCATTTTTGGTTGACTGCGCGTGATAACTGTCAGTGATAGTTGTGGTGCTATTTATTAACAATCACTTGTATGTACGTGCGGCTTCCATGTTTTATTAGCGTTCACTGATAATAACATGAGTATGCGTATAGTAACTTCTTCTATATAAAGTAAATAATAGAGACCGGCCGTTGTCGCACGTTAAAATACGAGATACATTTCAATCAATTCTTCTATTTTTCATTTGACACATGGCCCCTATGAAAAATATTCATTTAATTTCAAGTTATTAAAGTATTAAGCATCAATGATTTACCAACCCTACGTTTTCAGTGATGTATTTCCAAGTTGTGCTGGACAAAATACATTGTTAATATAATACGACACGCAGACGAAGTCTGGGGTATCGGCTAGTCTTTAATAAATTTACGTTTAGTTTCTTCATTTCATTCGGAAGTTTGTAATATATATATTTGGTGCCACGCATGGCAATTTAAAACCATAAAGAAAAATGGTTGATTTTTTTGTTACCATTTGAGTCCTTTAAAAAAAAAAAAATTTTTTTCTGTAAGATAGAAATTTCGAAATAATTTTTTGTCACTGTTTGAATATCCGATGAGTTTGCGCAATATTAGAAATTATCCTTAAGAATATAATATTGTAAGTATTATAAACAATAAGGATTATACCGACTTCTTTTTCAATGGTTTTGCATACAAATTATAACAAAAATTGACAAAAAAGTTGCACAAGTAAGTAGGTATTCAGCACGTGTTATTGCAACGCATGAGTCAGAACAACTAGTGTTTTGGTCGAAAATTTTTGTTTTAGCTTCCAGTTGCCACTGTCCACGTGAGAAGCACATTATGATACTTTATATTATTTATATTCTTGCAGCGTGCCTTACTGCTTCTACACGTTTCACCAGCTTTATCTTGGAAAATTTAATTTCGTCGACGAATCCACTTTTCTTTTATTAACTGATGGTTTTGCTTTCAGTCCCGAGACTATTAAAGCTTCATCTGACGCAGAACCGGTGGGCTTCTGGCCCATTCCCCTACGGGTTTGGGGAATCCACTTTTATTTTAGCTGACGCATGTCATTAGCAATGTGATTAAGAGTAACGATTTTATTTTTTTAATTTTAGCTTCCAGTTTCCATTGTCCACGTGATAAGCACATATGATACTTGATAATATTATTGACTTATGCCTTACTCGTGCTGCACGTTTCAACAGCCTTATCTCGGAACCTTTAATTTCGTCGACGAAGCCATATTCTTTTCTTCTAGCTAACGTATTTTAGTAACAACCTGATTAAGTCAAATTATTTTTACTGTGCCCTGCCAACGCAACGGAACAGGTTCCGCAACAGAAGTGGGTTTTCGTGTAAATTTTGCCTTTGTTACTTTCCTTCCTCACGATGTTTTCTTTCACCACCAGGCACATCGTAAATGACATATATATATTATAATATTGTAGCGACCCGCCCTATATACCTATAAACCTCGTGAATCACTTTATCTAGTAAAAAAACCACATCAAGATCCGTTGGGTAGTTTTAAAGGTTAAGCATACATAGCGGGCGGGCGAGCGGGATGACTTTGTTTTATACTATATAGTGATTAACAGTTTTATTATTTAATGGGAGGGCAATCATTTTTAAACATTATATTTTTTGTCATCCATTACTTGTTTGTTCAATTTGAGTCAATTTTTGCTAAAATAGACTTTGTCCTTTACCTGTCTCTTATCTTTCACAAACGGTTGAGTAAGGAAATGAGATTGTTAGGGAAATTAAAGTAAATATCTTGAAGACATTAGCAAAAAATGGGTCACAAAAAAAACATAATTGAATTTTGAATTTTGGCTCTTATTGAATAAAGTTTTTTATTGTTTACAACTACAACCCGTAAGAGACAGAATTAGAACTGGGAGTATCTAGCAGCCCCCTCTCAATGGAAAAAAAGCGAAGCGATTATAAATTAATTTTGATATCTATTACCATTCTCTAATTGAACTGTTTTTTGAAAAACAATACAAATCTTTTTTTTTGAAAAACAATGCCCAAAATTAATTCACTAAGGGTTCGTCTGTCTTAAGACTAATAAACGTAATAATACATACACACTAAAGTAAGAAGTAAATAAATAATCTCGCTATCTTCTTTAAAATTACGAGTATCATAAATTAAGTATAAATAGGTCAAGGATATTGTCAATAGATGCATGTATAAAATAGAATCAAATGATTTTTTTATTTGGGCCACATCCTTGGTTAGTTCCTGTATTTCCAAAACAAAACACCTATAAAACATCCGATTTAAGAATGGTTTCCGAATTTTCAATTGGCACTGACACACGGAGTTCCAACTTTGCAATTAGCATGAAGATACGGTGCGACGATGTAGACGGAATTTAGTAATGGTTTATCCGCGAATGTTATTTTACAAGGAGCGTGGCAATGAGATTCATTGTAGGCCGGCCGGCTGCGATAGGGCTTGCTTCAGTCTAATGTAACAAACACTTCGTAGCGGGTGGCTGCTACACTCGTGTACTGTAACGTTTTCCTCCCGCGTTTCACTGAGTGAAATTGTTATTTTTCACTTGACTTGTTATTTTTTACAAAAAATAATAAAAGGCTACCGACTTCGCTTTCTTGTGTATAGTTTCGGTGCGGACGCAACACGGTGGAAAGGAAACTAGTTTTCCTAATCATGAGAAAGTGTTTCAAGATGGGTCTTTTCAAGAGTAAGTATTTCAATAGTATCGATGGTAATAGTAGTGATTCTGGCTCGGATATCGTAAAGATTATATACAAAATTAGATTAAGTCATTGTGCTTTGTCTTAAAGGTACTATATTTGAATATAGATGCATAAGCAATGCAAGTCCCATGTTAAAGTCATCAACCTTTATACTAAAGTAATGAAATTGCCTATAATAGTTTAGAAAAAAAACTACTAATGTTGCTGGAATCTGTGTACTTTTACATACTTTTCAAAAGATTATTGATTAATTATTTATAGTCTTTAAATAATAAAAAATGGGTGTTTGAGAAATGTCAGCTCATTTAGCTCTCTTGACCTATATTCTTTCTCCATTTTCTTAAGAAGCGAGAAATTAGAAGTTATAGATATTTTGCGTAATGAGTGACAATTTTGTGGGTGATTTAAAAATAGAATATTTAGAGCTTTGTTGGTAAGGGCAACGGGTTTGTAACCGGTCTTGCATGTCTTGCAATGCATTTACAGTCTCTCAGTATTGGACCTGGTTGTATGTTCTGGAGATTTCTTTTTTAATTTTTTTTAAATAATTTTAATATATCTATTAAACGAAATATAGTACTTCAATATAGAGAAGACAAGAAAGTCTATTTTTAATTTTCTCTGGATTTTAAAACAATGCTTTCAGTTGTTACTCATTTTTCGTGTATTCAACTTTTAAGCAGTGATCATTATTTTTTTTATAATAATTTAAAAATAATATCTTTACTCACAGTCAACGCCACGTCATGTCCCTAAACGTAAAGAATACTGACTAATTTCAGTAACTTGGGAAGGTGCATAAAAACTCACGGGTGGAATTTATTTCAAATTTTCTCGATTTTCCTTCGTACGAAGTTTAAATAGACTTTTCCAATAAAATTTTCTAATGAACTTATTTAACTTTCAAAAAATAAGAACTTTAACGTAAACTACCGCCACCAATATTGCCCTCGCAGTGGACAATGTTTTTTTAGGGTTCCGCATCCAAAGGTAAAACGGGACCTTATTGCTGGCTCTATCCGTCTTTCACCAGGTGTCTCATGAACCTTGATAGTTAGACACTTGAAATTTTCATAGATGATGTATTACTGTTGCCACTTTAACAACAAATAAACATACTAAAAAACGTAATAAAATAAAAAAATTGAAGGGGACTCCAATACAATAGACATGATTTTTTGCCTTTTTTTATAGATAATGGTACGGACCCTTAGTCCGCGAATCTGACTCGCACTTGGGGTTGCGTGGGGAACTTTGCATTTGTATAGCTACAGCGCAGTTTAAGCATACATATTTATCATCGATCCAGTTTAAAGATTTTTTTAATTTCCAGAGTTGTTTTTTTATTTGCCTCTTATTATCTGTTATTATTTCATCAATCTTTATCGTTTATCTACATTTTAAGTATGTCTAAATTGTTGATAACACATCTTGATCAGCGAATTGTGATATAGTGACGCGTTTCTTGATGTTTTTAGGATAAAATTTTGATACGGAGATGGGCAAATTATAATGTGAGAAAAGCGGGGATCGTGTAGTGGTGTTACTAACATAATAAATCATACTATGAATATATTTTGCACCTTTGAAAACGACGATATTAAAATTGCCTTTTGGTATTCGATTCTAAGTATCTATCAATCATACATTTTTTTAATTATTTATTTATGCCTTATTTCAAACTCTTTGAATTGGGATTACGAAGTCAATACGATTTGGTACGCTTTGGTACAACGATAAAGTCGTGAGCTCGAATCCCAGTGACGTGAGCAAAAGATTTTTTTTTTTACTTTAGATTTTTACTGTTGCTATTCGCACCCGATGTATGGCTAAAAAGAAGTGCGTATTACATTTAATAGGGACTGTCTTCTGACGGAATGACTCCGAGACTGGGACTGATATATGATTATGAGAGAGATATGCGACAAGAAAAAACCCTGCAATATAATTATATCTACCAATTAAAGTTTTTGTACCTACATGGTTGCCTTACGGGTTTTGAATGATAAAACCCGTAATACAACAATTCAACCGATTCCGGCAATAAAATAAAAGCAGGGTAATTTCCATTAACAACGATTGAAAAGGCAAGTGCTATAATTGTAGCCATTGGCCAGTAATGTTACTAAAAAGCCTCTATAAAATATCTCTGTCTTCTAAAATTATTACGTCCAATCGATTATGATTCAGAGATTAAAGGTCTGTTTCGGTCCGTGTGACGTAAAGTGAAAGTCATATTAATATATTATGTGTTTAATAGTTTATACGTCATTTCGAAATGTTTACAAAGCTGTTTTATACCTTAACAAAATGCCTTGCTTATACCGCAACAAAAAGTAGGGACATTTTTGCAAAGATTATAAAACTTTAATTAAACTAACAAATTAATTATAGGCACATTCCTTTATTACGTGTAAACACACCCAGAAAAACGTAGATTAACAAATAAGAACTCTACAATAGAATCTAGTGGATGCATTTAAACTGTTTCATACTATTTCACACGATCGACGAGCTGAGATTTAAATCATAAAAAGTCAAATAATAAAAGTCTTGCAGACAACGACAATGCATGTAAAAATATTTGCAAACAAATATTTCAGGATAAATAAATTTTGATTGATAAACACACAATGCAATTAGTTTATCCCTTCGCTGATGACTGCAATAAAAAGGTTTTAACAAAAAATTATTCTGAAAACTAGATCTTTTAACTCATCGTGGCTAATCTGTAACATGCCTATTATTTCATACTGCGGAAGACTGCAATAGTAGTCAACCGTGAACCTTTACATTTATTCTATTTAAGCACTGTTGATTAATTTTTATTCGTTATTAACAACCATTTTTTATAATTACTGATTGTCATTTTTATTTCTGAATGTTTCGGTAAACGATGCCGTGTTTGATATTTCAAAGCTTATTTTGAAGTTATACTTCTTTGGCGCGTTTGGAAAAAAATATGTATAGTAATTTTTTTACGATTCGCGTGCACACGTACGGGCAAAAATTTTCATGTTGATGTTGGTTGACGCTGGAAAGAGTCCTTTTTTTTTGTTGACGTGGGGGAAATGCCTACGCATACCCGCCCTCGCGGGGGCAAGAGCGGGTTATGTCGGACTCGCACCGGAACATTCAGCGCGCCTTCCTACTCGGCCCCATTTTCACGGCCAACGAACTCCCCCGAGTTCGCTCACCGGGGCCATGGGAGCCAGGAGAGCCAGTGCTAATAAGCAGCAAGCCTCCCAGCCCCCAGCGGCGGACCTGGTCTGTGGCTCCGCCACTCACCACGTTTCGGCCGCGGAGGATAGGGAGAACGGCGCATCGCAATACCGACACTCCTCTCCCCCCGCGGCCCCACCACAGCTGCATCAGCGGTGCAGCCCCGCCGAGTCGCGGAGGATAGGGAGCACGGCCAACGCAATACCGACACTCCTCTTCCCCCGCGACTCCTCCTCGGTAGCAGAAGACAGGGAGAGTGGCTCCACCTCTACCACCCTCAACCTGTCCCCTGCACCCTCCAGCACGCATCCAGAGTGGGCTCATTGAGCCCACTCGGAGCGGCCCTCTCGGGCCGGCCTTACACCACAGGCCGGCCCAGTGTGGGTTCCTCTTAGCTTCGCCGTGGGGGACCAAGCCACGGCTACTAAGCCCCTCCGCCACGTCAAGGCGGGAACCCGGTCGGAGGGGACGCTGGAAAGAGTCCTGGCATAAGGGATAACAATTTTCGTTATTTTACTTTTGTTATGCTAAAGACGTATAATTTCTGACGTGCGTAGACGTACGTCTATAAGTACACACATTTTTTAAATTTAACTTTATGCCTTAAATATCTATTGAATGATTGTATACTTTTATTTGTACTATTTTGTTATTATTTTCACCTGCCACAATTTCTCTTCATGTCCCGGAATGACTGATAGAGCATACCAAATCGCAATGACTCCCTTCGTAGTCCTGATTCAAGCAGTTTGAAATAAGGCATAAATAAATTAATAAAAAAAATGTCCTTCGGTTAAATTTTAATATCGTCGTTTGGAGTGATAATTTTTGTACTCATTTGCACGTGGCATATCGTATAATGAGTAAAAAGTAATTTTAAACTACCAGCGTAGATAAGCCTAATTTTATTATTCTATTTTAATTGTTCATAGGAAAGCCACAAAAGATAGTTAAAATAATCACCTTGATAATTTGGTTCAATGAAGCTTTAATAATCTAATAACTGAAAGCGAGAATATCATTAACAAACCCAATGAGTTATCGATAAGGTGAGTTTAACTAACATTTAGTGATTCTTTTTAGGGTTCCGTACCCAAAGACAAAGGGAAAACGGGACCTTGCTACAAAGACTCCGCTATCTGTCTGTCCCTTTGAGACCAGGTGTACCTCATGGACCGTGATAGTTAAACAGTTGAAATTTTCACAGATGATGTTGCCTCTATAACAACAAATACTATAAAACACAATAAAAATATTTAAGTTGGACTCATGACATGATAATGGTACGGAACCCTTCGTGCGCGAAACCGACTCGCACTTGCTCTGTTTCATTTTGGAATCGTTACGGTAGCCCTATCCTTTAAATTAGAAAACACTCTCGATGAAAACTTTCCGTTGAATCAATGAAATAATTCCCACAAAACACCAAACCATTTAAATTATTAACAATTCGATATGTAAATTTAGATTAATTATTTTTAGGTTGCCTTACGGCAAATAATCAAGTCGCATAATAATCAAATTCACGTCATGTATTATTTAAGCCGTATGTTGTAAAATTACACTTTGCTTAATCTGTAACATATCATATTGCTTACAGATAACGTGTATTTGTTAAGATTAAGATATATGTCTCGATTTCAATCTATTGATTCTTAATTAAATCTTATTGATATACTTCCAACAATTATCTTGCGATGTACGCTGATTAACAAATGAGTGATAAGACACAACATGATCTAATTTGTAGATTAGAACTGAG